TCTTTTATACTCCTGCTAAACTTTATGTTTTTAGGTCCAAGAATTAACAAGTCCACCAAGAGCTGGTACCGTTGTGAAAGACTGTGTTGTTGCATGTGTTAAATCAACATATAAATTTCTCTTTGATAATTGTTATGAACTATATCAGCGTGAATTTCAAACTGATCCTAATGAACAAAATGAAGGGGAAGAAAGTGGATCTCATAGTTTAGATTTTTGGCATAAACTTATAGATTTATTAGTATCTGTCATAGATGAGGATAAAAATAACTACACATCAGTATTAAATCAGTGAGTACCTATAATCAATTTTCAAGTCAAGTGTGAGTTTTTTCTTTTATTAGAAAAGCGAAAGGTGCTTATATGGAAGATCTTTCCCCATATGATAATGTCTCAATATCGGTGTTGCTTAGGTTCAGAGTATTTTATAATTTTGAACAGTGTGAATTTTAATAAATATGTATAATGTAATAATATTGATCCTTAAAATTAGGGTATTTCCATATTCCACGTTAATAAATTCTTGATATTGAATCATCAATACATAAATATGGGTAAAGAAAAGGGTTATGACAACATATATCAAAAAGGGGGCTTTATATGACTGTATGATAGTCAGGTATTAATTTTATATGTCCTAGAATTGCGGCATCTTACAAGAAACAATGTTTTCCATTAAAATAATCCAAAAGTTTACAAATGATCAAAAACATGGCTTATGATCATGTGACCATATTAATAAGTTAAACAAAATTCTTGTTGCAGTATTTTTCATAGTATAGTTTTGATATATCTATTGTTTACAGTGCATAAACTTGAATAAACTAAAATATATTATATATAATAAAATCACTAATTTCATACAAATATATATATTGATTAATTTCAAAATGACGTTTAAAAATTTAAGTTGTAAAAGAGAAGACTATATTGAAGAAATATTGTACAAAGTAACTAATGTGTACATGTAGGCCTGAATTAGTTAGTATTGTGGAATATGCTATATTATCACTCAATATTATGGTGTCTGCATTATGCCAGTTTGTTTCTGTTGCACATTATTTACAGTGATAAGGATTTGTCCAGAGAAATTCAAGAGTAAGAAGAGATGTGCACTACATTGCATTTATATTATATGTTTAAAATGTCCAAAATATTCTACACAACAATTTAATTGAGTTATTTTATGCTTAAGACATGACATTAAAGATTACTTTAATTTTCCATCACTGAATTTCTTTATAATATGATTTCTTTCATTGATGAAGGAACAGTTTTGAAAATTGAATTGATTGAAGATAATTGCAAAACATTTTATCTAAAACCATTACATATGTATGTACTAATGATCAATTCATATTTAAATGTAAACTAACAATAAAAAATTATATTCACTGGAATCCATGATAGTTAAAAAAAAAAAACAACAACAAAAAAACACATTATTTGAAAGTTGTTAGAAAGATATATTTTGAGGACTATTTTTGAAATCTTATAGGTGTAATTCTTGAACTTAATATATATAATACTAATTAATTACTAATCAAGTCAGACAAGCTAACTTAATACTATATAGGTAAGGTTGATAAATAACATCTTTCAAGATAGTTTCTGTCAACATGTTTCAATTCATATTTTCAAGGCATAGTAACAATACAATAAACAACGATATGACGTCATGATATTTTCTTCGGGAGATAAGTTATGATACATTTATAATAATAGATTGAAGAAATAACAAACAATTTTTACAATCTGAAAGATTTCAAAAAATCAATCAATTAAATTTGGGCTTTAGTTTCTCAATGATATATGTCTCATTAATTCCAATAATTGAGCTGTTGTGGCTGAACATTTTGTAGAAAAAATGACAGACATTGATATGATCATTCTTGTTTTGGGAACCCAGATCTGTAATTAGTGGTCATCCTGTACCTCAAATTGTTTTTACAGCCAATATAAAGCTCATTACATCCTCAACAGCATATATTATATAAACTCTATAGTACATGTAATATTAGCTTTAAGTATAGCTAAGTATACTGATGAGATCAAATAAGTTCTATTTTAACAATTTTGAGTTATTGGCCTTGAGTCGATATTTTAACATTGACATGTGAATGAAAAACTACATTTTGATTTTGTAATGGGCATTGATCAACTGCTTTTTTCTCCTTTTTTTTGAAGATTCCCTCAGGAGTTAAATGTAGGACAAGTCAGTGCCTCTATCATTTGGAGTTTATTCTCCCAAGACTTGTGTATGGCTTTAAAAGGTATGTGTATGATTGCTTTATTTTATTAGATATAAGTTCAAAGTTATAAAAAGCCAGACAAATCTGACCCTGCCCACTACAGGGGTAAGATGTAATATTATATTGCCCACTGAAGGTCATAATATTATAATATTATATTTTGTTATATTACTATAGCATGACTCTGATAAAGCGAAAAGTTTATTGGAAAAAAAATTGGCTTGTTTTGTTTTCATGACAACTTTAATATCAGAGGATGAGTAAACATGTCTTGAGCATGGATAAATCCTAAATACACATGAACTTGTTCTATATGTATTTTCTAACAAACTGTACATTGATAGTATTTTGTAACATGTATTTTTGATCTGTCTGTCTAATACACATGTAATTGACTTGTATTTTTGAACAAATTGTACATCAAAATATTGTGTACATTTTTTATTCTATATATTTTTTCATGTCATTCATTGTATTGTAAGACAGGACCATGTCCTTGGTTAATTGGACCTCATTCTAACCACTGAAAAATATTTATTTAACACATAATATTTTCAGATCATGAAAAAGAAAGAACTTGTAAGAGTTCAGAATATATGAATCTTCATTTTAAAGTGAAATGGTTGTGTAATAATTATGTTGCCAATGTGCCTCAATATAAAGGATCCATTCCAGAATATCCACAGTAAGTAAACATTAAAGGGACAGTTTTGGTTGGTTTGGATCTTAAATAAATGCCTTTGGAAGCACAAATATACGAAAATTGCATAATTCCTAAACAAAAAACCTATTTTGATATATGTCATTTTCTGTATATGACAGATAATGATGAAAAGATGTTAAATATCCCAATAATATGAGGTCAAAATATTGTAATCATAGCTTTGATACTTTATGAAAAATCTTGACGTCAAAAATGTTACCGTTTCTTATGTCCGATGTCCAGGAAAAACATTGACTCTTTTCAAATTTATAAAGTATCAAAGCCAAGACCTCATAATTAAAGACATTTAAGACATCTTTTCGCACAAAAGTAGTTTCAATGGTTGAAACATAATAAAAATTCAAGAAATTTTTGTATTTATAGATGGTTTGAACCATTTGTTATGCAATGGTTAAATGAG